TATATATATATTTGGCTTTTTGAGACAAGGTTTCTCTGTGGCTTTGGAGGCTGTCCTGGAACTAGCAACTAGCTCTTGTAGACCAAGCTAGTCTTGAACTCACAGAGATCCACCTGCCTCTGTCTCCTGAGTGCTGGGATTAAAGGTGTGCACCACCACCACCACCACCAGGCCCCATTTATATTAATCTGTTTTGTCTCGTGGCTTTTTACCTCTTTTCCATCTTGTACCTCCTGTTTATTCTTCATCTCCTCTGGCGTCTCCCTTGCTCTTAGACTCAAACTCATCTCCTCTTCTTTTCCCTCTTCTCAGAAGCCCCACCTACCCTCCTCCTGCCTAGCTATTGGCCATTTATCTCTTTACTTAACCAACGGGAAGGGGTTTGGCAAAGACACATCTTCATCGTGTACACAAAGATCATTCCACTACAGGTCTTTGTTACAGTTGTTGTATAGTTATCAGTTCTGAACTGTGCAACAAATACTTGGATTATAGGGAGAGGATGGTATTGTTTTTTATGTTAGCTGTCTAAATCATAAGGATAAAGTTAAATTCAGGCCCCATAGGGCAGCCTTCTAGTATGGCAAACCTAGTTAAGGGCCTGGATTGTGGCTGAGTAACAAAGGGCTGGCCTAGTATGTCCGGAGCCCTGGGGTCCTTCCCCAGCACTGCAGTTTCCTAAGCTAAGTGCAGTAGCTCTCTTTACTTAGTATTTCGGCATGCTTCTTTTCTTCTTGCCTTTTTGTGCTGGACATTAGACAGATATTTCTTGTTCTCAGTTATTGAGGGTCTATAGTGAAAAGTGAGCATCAAACACACAAACCAGCAGTCACCAGGTGTCAGAGGGGTTTCTCAGCAGGGTCACAGTCACCAGGTGTCAGAGTGGTTTCTCAGCAGGGTCACGGTCACCAGGTGTCAGGGTGGTTTCTCAGCAGGGTCACAGTCACCAGGTGTCAGGGTGGCTTCTCAGCAGGGTCATGGTCACCAGGTGTCAGGGTGGCTTCTCAGCAGGGTCACAGTCACCAGGTGTCAGGGTGGTTTCTCAGCAGGGTCATGGTCACCAGGTGTCAGGGTGGCTTCTCAGCAGGGTCACAGTCACCAGGTGTCAGGGTGGTTTCTCAGCAGGGTCATGGTCACCAGGTGTCAGGGTGGCTTCTCAGCAGGGTCACAGTCACCAGGTGTCAGGGTGGTTTCTCAGCAGGGTCATGGTCACCAGGCCTCTGGTGGCCTCCAAGGGAGCATGTGTATGCTCTTAGGGTAGACTCAGAGCCTTGCAGGCAGAGGTGTTCAGAGGCCCTGACGTAGGTGTGAAGGGACATCTGAAGACCAGGTAGCTGAAGGACAGGGACCTAGAGTGAGAGGGAAGAGTAGGACAAACAGTGACCCCTGAGAACATCAGAGCTGACTTTTGTGCCAAAGTCACCTCTGTTCTTGTCCCCACGTGTCCTTCACTGCACTGTAGAGGGGACCATAGGGGAGCAGGAACAGTGTGGAGGCCATTATGTCATCTAGAGCCTTCCTTTCTCAACTCACCTTCTTGCTCGCCTCCCAAGCAGCAATCCTGGCTGGATCTGTTTCCCCTTTTGTCTCAGGGGGATTGTTGAGCTACAAGAAAAGGAACCCAGCCAGTCTTTGGAAGGCACAGAACAGGGTCAGCCCAAGGTTATCTGGGACTTCCCAGAGCCCACAGCAGGAAGTATTCACTCATGTGTACATTCTAGAGCAGTTCTGGGGGAGGTTTGGTTCCTGGCTTTGGAAACCATGGTCAGCAACAAAGCAGATTCCCAGATTGGGAGGATGCTAAAGCCAGCTTTTTGGGTTTTTTCGAGACAGGGTTTCTCTGTGTAGCTTTGGAGCCTATCCTGGCACTCACTCTGGCCTCGAACTCACAGAGATCCTCCTGCATCTGCCTCCCAAGTGCTGGGATTAAAGGCGTGTGCCACCAACGCCCGGCACTAAAGCCAGTTTTAACACACTGGTTTCTGTATCTCCTGGGATGACAAATCATGACAAGCCAGTCATGGTGGTTCATGCCTGTCGTCTTAGCACTTGGGAGGATTGAGGCGAGAAGATTGAGGGTTTAAGGCCACTCTGAGAAATATAGTGAGGCCCTGTCTCAAAAAAAGAAAACAAACAGTGCTAGGGCAGCAAGACAGGTCAGAGGCAGTATTGAGGATCCAAGCTCTTTACTCATTTCTGTTCAACTGAACTTGCAATATAGAGCTTTATGCTGATTTAGTTCCTCATGGTCACACAAATGCTGTTGCTGCTCCATAGAGCACATCCTGTTCCGTGCACAGCCCTAGCAGTCATCCTGTCCTGTGTCCCACACAGTGCTGGGTTACAGATGAGTGCACAGGCACACCAAAGGTCCTCACTCTTGCTTAGTAAGAGCTTTTACCCACTGTTACCTCTCCAAGCATGGCTCATCACTGAACCTGGAGCTCTTCCATCAGGCTGTGTGGCTAGTGTGCATCTGAGATCTTTGCTCTGCAATGTGGAGTTGCAGGCACATGCTGCTGCTCCCAGCTTTTGTTTGAGTCATGAGGATTTAAACCCAGGTTCTCATGCTTGAACAACAAGCACTTTACTTAGTGAACATCTCTATAGCCTTTCCATCTCCCCTTCTCCAATGTAAATGACAAGTGGATGGGGACGTGGGCATCCCAGAGAGGAACTACTGACACAGTAGGGGCACAGAACAGGAGGGCCGCTGGGGCTGGCGAGTTACTAGCCTAGCTTCAGGGTCAGTGGGAGACCCTGTCTCAAGGTAATAAGGTAGAGAGCACCAGAGCAGATCACACTGTGTCCTCCTCTGGCCTCTGTGCACTTGCACAGGCACACAAACACCATACACATACATAAAATGTGGACAGTAACTGAAGACATCCAATATTGACCTCTGGCTTCTACACACATATGCACACACCTCCATATAAGCATATAACACACACACACACACACACACAGAGAGACAGAGAGGAGAGAGAGAGAGAGAGAGAGAGAGAGAGAGAGAGAGAGAAGGGGGCAGTCCTTTGAAGCTGTCTCAGCTCCTAGCATCTGGTCAGAGGTGCCTGGTCTTTTGACCTTGCCATTTGCCTCTGTGCTGAGCCCCTGTGGTTCTGGTCCCCAGGGCCTGGCATTCTATTAGTTTTCAGGAACACCAACAGCAGTGGGTTCTGAACCAGGTGACCTGGGTTTGGGCAGAGCCGTGGATCCTGCTGCACCTGGTGTGGTTTGTTTTCCCTCCTTGACTGGAGGTCAGCAAGTGTCTGGGGAACCGGCTGTGTCAGAATTCTTCTCCCACTGCCCTCTGCTCCTTTCTGTCTTGAAGCTGGGCAGCCCCCAGCCGGCCCACTGCCTTCTTTATTCTCCCGATCTCAGCCTTATGGCCTCCTTCCTAAACTGCTCTTTCCTCTGCCATGGAATGGTCTAGCCCATCACAGCTGGGGCTGAAGTGCAGGCCTTCTCCCTCTGTAAGTCAGGGTTTGTGCTAGTCTCTCCATCCTTTCCTGTGGAACAGAGTTGGAAGCTAAGTGTCTGTCTAAGTCAGGGTGTTCTGGTAACCACAGGAAAAGGAGGAGGTGAGATTAACTAAAAAATGCTGTCTCCCTCACATGTAATTAATTAATATAAACACTGACAAAATACCTACCTTTGGGGAGGTCCCAGGCATATTTTAGGCTCCAGTACACTTCAGTTTGGACTTGACACATTTTCTTTTCTTTCTTTCTTTTTGTCATTATTATGGATTTGAACACAGGGTCTCACTATGTAGCTCTGGCTGGTCTGGAACTCACAGAGATCCTACTTACTGTGTCTACCTCCTGTGTGTACCACCACTTGG